ATCTAAAGTTTTATTTTATTTTATATATTTTAAAGAACAAATTTTTTTTGAAGTACATAATATTTATATATGACAAATACAATAAATAAACTCATACAACATCTTTGAACTCCTAACTTTCTAGGAGATTAGAGACTACAATACCACTAAGCCAAAGACCATTTGATAATATAGTAAAATTACTGATACAAAATAAAGAACACATTTTTTATTATTTCAAAAAATTTGTTGAAAAATGGTATAATAAATTTGGCTGCATTTTAATTTTTATTCTTTAAAATTATATTTTTCAGCAATTATTTACTAAAATAAGAAAAAAAAACAAATATTCAACAATTTTTTACTAAAAATAAAAATGATTTGACTTTGACAGATTAATGTAACCCGTACGTATGCAGCTCTTTTAATGCCCCTTCCTGCATTCATATCATAAGCTTCTAATTACTCTCCAAACAGACACCATGTGTAGTGAAAATGGTGGTGGCCTTCCATAAAACCACAAAATTATATATACATACATCAATTCTGTCTCTATATTCACACAGACACACGCTAACCACTCCATATAACACCAAGTTCTTGATCAAAACCCTAATCATTTTCAGCAAGAACCAGCAGAGAGAACTTAAAATGGCTCTTCAATGGCTAAGCTTAGTTGGCATAATCTGGCTTCAATCCATAAGTGCAACAAACTCAAACTTCCCAGCTTACTCATCTCAGCTCAAGCTTCTTCTTTCCCTCTCGCAGCTTCAGCTCAACAACTTAGCTTTTGCTTCTGATGCCGGAAAGCTCTTCGGCTTCTTTTCTGGCATGGCGGCTGTTTATCTCCCTCTTTGGCTTGTCCTTTTAATCGGTTCTGCACTCGGGTTCATCGGCTATGGTGTTCAGTATCTTTTCCTTCTAACAAATAACATCTCTGCTTTGCCGTACAGTCTAGTTTTTCTGCTGACAGTTTTGGCTGGTAACAGCATTTGTTGGATCAACACGGTCTGCTACGTGATCGCGATCGAAAACTTCCCGTTAGATCGACAACTTGCAGTCGGGTTATCCACGAGTTACCAAGGTTTAAGTGCAAAGATTTATTCGGACGTAGTTGATGTGGTTTTCAAGTCACCATCGTCATCATCATCAAGAGCTGATCAAAGAGCAAGATCATATCTTTTGTTGAATTCCATGGTACCCCTCGTAGTTTGTTTGATCGCATCCCCTTTGGTTCGCGTGATAAACACCGCAAGATCCAAGAGACTATCAGGTGGGTTTCTTGTGATCTTTGCGATCACCATTTTTACAGGAACTTACGCTGTGATAACCAGTTTGGGATCAAGAAACAAAAGACTATCTCCACCATTGATGATCTTGATTGGTATGTGTGTGTTCTTGATGGCACCATTAGTAGTTCCATTAATGGAGAAAATCAGAGAGAATATGGAGCATAAATGTTTGATAAGAAGTTATGGGAAGAAGATATGTGATGAGAGCAGTATGGATGATCAGGAAGATGGGGAGAAGAATGGGGGGGTGGAAACTGAACAAGTGGTGAAAGATGAGGGGGTGTTAGTGAATGATGATGAAGAGATGGGGGTTAAAGTAATGGTGAAAAGATTGAATTTTTGGTTGTATTTCTTTGTGTATATGTTTGGTGCAACAGTTGGAATGGTGTATTTGAACAATTTGGGTCAAATTGCAGAGTCTCGTGGGGGTTCAAACACTTCTTCTTTGGTCTCCTTGGCTTCTTCTTTTGGTTTCTTTGGTCGTCTATTTCCTTGTCTCCTTGACTATCATCTATTCAGGTATTTTTTTTATATTCTTTCAGTATCTATATCTGTATCTGTTATCTTTAAAACATTAAAAAACGACATATGATCATACTAAAATAACATTGATTAAGGTTAAAGTTAACAGGTTTCGTTCAATGATACCAACAAACAAACTTTAGAGGGTACTGTTTGATGTGTGTGTTTTAAATTGGTATTGTAATATCAAGAATCAAAGTAAATGAATCGATGCATTAGTTAGAATTGTCAAACATGACTTATAATTGCTATCTGTTATCTGTATATTTCGTAATATGTGCATTGAAGATAGAAAAACCATTAAACAACTGTTGTTTAATGAACGGACAGTAATGCTAATAAAACTGAAGATTAGCCCACAGTTGTTAATGCATCGAATATCAATTAAAATCGTGGAGAACGAATTAACCTTACAATTTAGACTTTTGAAAAAAAGTTGAATTGTACATGCAATTTAATGCCGCATTAAATGTTGAAATGGAATAATATGGTTGAAAATGAATTCAAATCTAAGTCTTGTTTGAACCACCATTTTCGGTGCTCATTTATGTCACAAATGTAATTGTTACCAAACACTGCAAATCGTTTTTCTCTATAATTTTCATTTTCGTTATCGTACAAAAAACTTACAAAGTAATTCTATATTTTTCAGGGCTAAGTACAAGGTTTCAAGACCAGCACTGATAGCACTAATGATGGTACCAATGACACTAGCCTTCTTCTTACTTCTCAACAGTAGCAACATTTGTCTTCATATAAGCACCGCCACCATCGGGATATGCACTGGTGCCATCACATCGATCTCTGTGTCAACCACTGCAGAGCTTTTCGGGACCAAAAACTTTGGTGTGAACCACAACATTGTCGTCACCAATATCCCAATAGGGTCGTTCTTGTTCGGAGACATGGCAGCATTACTTTACCGCGAACAAGGGCTTGCCAATGGAGATGGAAAATGCATGGGGATCAAATGTTATCAAACAAGTTTTATCATTTGGGGATCCCTTTGCTTTTTAGGGACCTTTTTGGCCATAATTCTTCATTCAAGATTTAAAAAGACTTAGCAGATACATTTTCAGTCATATTGATCTTATATTTCAATATATATATATGTATATATATATATATGTATATATATATATATAAAAGTACACATGTAAATATATGTATACCATATCCATGGGTATGTAGGTGTCTTTCTAGGCTTCTTAACCGAACTTGAGTTCAGTTATCTATTTCTATCGATCAGTTCAAAAAAGTGAGTGGAGGAAACATTATCTGGAAAGCTGTTGTGACATTAGTCATGATATTATAAGTAATAATAAGTAGTATAATTCACGAAACCATCTTGAAATGACACGTGATTGGAGAAACTTGGCCTAATCAACAATTGTGTTTGAAGATGACTTCTTTTTGTTGTAATATTTCTTATAAAAGATTATGGGTTGGGTTTTTTTTTCCGGTTTTGATATAAAAAAATATATATAAAACAAGAAACTTACTGACTTGCTTTTTATTTGGAGTACGTTTTCCATATGACAGTATCGACAATTTCTATCTTAATTGTAATCCATTGAATTTCGAATAAAAATCCATCAAGTCTCTTTTTGTTCTTCACATATTTGTCAGACTATATTTTGGTCATTTCCATGGGGGGACCTACCATGGTGGTTACGGTGGCGCGTGACATCGTATTATTTCTCCGTCGAATGGTAAAAAAATTAGGTTCGTGAAAGGTGTAACCGTATTAATCTGTTGTGTGCCATCGTATGCATTTTGAAACTACAATAAGAACAAGTTTTATTTGATAGAGTTGGTTTGCAAAACTTTTATTCCACTCCATACCCAAATTCAAATCTTGTTAGTGTCATTTTCTTAGTCAAATAGTGCCACCGATTGAATTTTTTTGTGTATATTTGTTTCTTATAGTCAACCAGTGCCACTGTTTGAAATTTTTTCGCTATAGTTTTTCTTACAGTCAAATGGTGCCACCGTTTGAAAAAAATTCTGGGTTCGTCCTTGATCATTTCTATGACATTATTATATGAAAAGTAATGAATTAACGAGAAATATTTGTTTGTTACGTGTTTTTCACTTTGTTTGTAATACGTTTTGTCATATCATATCTTTTGGTCATTTTCATTTTTTTATATTTTAGAATAATATAATACACTACAACAAAAACAAGTTTATAGGACACCATAAAGTATTAAGTGTTCTAATAGACTGCTTTTAAGACTTAATATATATGATCAAAAAATAAATTTTATTTTGTCTAAAAGCGTAATAATAAGTTTATAGAACGTTTTGTACGTCTTAACAAGTTTATTAGGACACTTCAATGCAAAGTGTCACATTAACTATTTTATAAGACATTTTTGGAAAAATGTCCTATAAACCCATCTTTTTAGACATTTATTTTTATAAGACAGTTTTGCAAATAGTTTCTTTAAGAATATAGCCAATACCACGTTTTCATTCTTATTTGATCTGATAAAATGAACACGAAATAAGAAATTTATCGACTTAGTTTTTGTTGATAACTTGTTTGATTTGTAATATGTTTGTTACGTGGTACTTTAATTTTGCTAAGAAAAACCCCAATAGAAAATCGAAGTTCTAAAAAATATTGCATTCAATTCCAACATATTATTTATTTTAAAGATTTTTCAAAATTAATTATATTATTAAAATATCTATAATTTTATCATCCTAATATATTTTTAAAAACTTTACATAAAATAATAATAATAATAATATAATATATTTTTAAAAACTTTACATAAAATAATAATAATAATAATAATAATAATAATAATAATTCAATCTAATTGATGATAATGAATAAGAAATCAGGTGAAGTTTATTTTTTAAGAGGTGTTTTTTGTAAAATCAGATGCAAACATTTTGCAAAATTCTTTTGATTTTCATAAAATTTCTATTGCCGAAATTTATCTTAACAATTGTTTAATAGATGGAACACAGTAAAAACCTTTTAGATACCTTTCAGACTTCCGATGCTATTGGTAATGCCGTCGGTGAGTTTGTTCGTGGAAAGATAGATATTTTTTTTACAGATGATAAATCACCGATAGAAGTTCTTGTTTCACATAATCTTCTAAGCTAACTTATACATACATAAATTATATATATATATATATATATACACACACAAACACACACACACACATATATATATATATATATATATATATAGAGAGAGAGAGAGAGAGAGAGAGAGAAGGTGAGGGTGTCATTTCACATGGGTGATGAAAGGACGGTTGACATCCCTGGTGGAGAAAGAATTAATAGCCAAAGAGAATCAAAAAAAGAAGAAATAAAAGGAATTAAGATATTAGTTTACCTCTTATTTATTCAGACCTTATTAAGTGATAAGAAGCTCTAACAATAATAAAAAAACAAACAGTATAAATTATGAAACGTCTGAACGAATCAGACAAATGGTAATTAAGAGCTGAAAATGAAAAAATATAAGCAATCCCTCAATTTCTCTTTGTTCACATCAAGTTTCAGAGAATTCTGTATATTTAGAATTCTTCCTAGGCCATTGATGATTTTCTGACTGTTATTTCCAAAGTTCCATAAGATTAGTTAAAGCACACATGTACTACAAAACATAACACTTTTTTCGACAGATATTCAATGGTTTATCTGGCAGAAAAACCCTAGCAAGAAAATACTATTTCTAACGGCATTTCTGGCGGATTTTCGACGGATTCTGACCATCGAAAATCCGCCAGTGATTTTTTTACCTTTTAAATTTCTCGACTTACGGTTGACAAACTTACACATCACTAAAAATGGCTTTGATATAAACATAAAGACAAAACGTTATCTATAGGGGACAAAAGGGGATGCCTTCTGTGAACCACCATGTGTAACTTTTTGTAGTCATTTTAAAGTAAAAACAAAAGAAAATACATTTTTTTTTATTAGTCTGGATATTCAACCCGCTATACAAGTCAACTAATCCCAGAACGACTACCTGCTTTCCAGATTGCCCGGAGGCATTTGAACCTCCATGACCATAAGGGGATTTTTATTCCTCATTGGATTTGAACCTGAGACCTCATTGTACTTTTGACATTTGGAGTCAAGCTCAAACCAATCAGGCATCATCCTTGTGGTTTACATTTTTTTTTTGTAACTGTGAGTTTTAGGGCCAGCTACTGCACATCGACTATTTAGATTTATCGCAAGTGAACCTCTATAATCACAAAGATTTTGACATCGCCTAAAATTCGAACCCAGATATATGAGATTTTCCATTATCATGGGAACAAAGAATTGGAAATACTTCTCGTTGAAGCCACTTCTTTCATTTTCACTTTGTATTTTCAAACAAAAATAATTGAATATGAATCTTTTAAGCTTCAAATCAATCATTGTAGAAAATAAACCTGAATTCCCGATGCATCAAGGCACGTCGTTTTTCTAATAGAATTAGAAAAAATGATCTCCGGTCTCAAAAGTCTTGGTGTTTGGGATTGCTTACAAAAACAACTTATTGACTTATTCCGGTGTGGTACTGGTAATAAACACTTTTGAGTGTTTGGATAAACAACGTATACCGGTGCCAAACCGGTAATAAGAAGTTTTTGAAGAAGTTAAACTCTTCTGACTTATAATAAGTTGATAAGCGCTTTTGTAGAAAAGCATAAGTTATTTTAAATAAGCAATCCCAAACACCCATCTTTGGGATAATTTTCTTTCTTTTAAGCGTTTTTCACAAGTCGGGTGTCTTCATAAAAACAATTGCTTTACTCTTTACAGTAGAGGTCATGTCTAAGTATGAGATATAGTAGGCCGGTTTGGTCTCATCTTTATTCCCATGACATCATCAAATGCTTCAGTGCTCAAACTTCATATATAAACAATTGGAAAAATCTGAAAAAAACCCAACAGCCTTATTTTTTTCAATAAAAAAATTTCCAATGACTTAATAGTTCAAAATATGAAAGTCCATTGAGTTTTTCGATTTCAGTGAGTTCCAGGGTTCATTTGTTTGGTTTCAGTATGTGCAAAGATTTATTTGTTCAAAAAAATGTCCAAGTTCTTGATCGCTCAAAATATTGGATTTTTCCGAGCATTTCCTGTGACCAATTAGAGGTAAGTCGTAAGCTAGTTCGTCACCAACGAACATGGTACATGGGACCAAGGTAGCATAGCATGGCAACATCATGAAACGGGGACGTGGTGGGTGACGATGGTGTTGATGTCATGATGACGGTTGTTATGTTTTCTTTGTTAAGATTTCATAACGGTCCTAGCTAGAAAACAGGGTAAAACCTAAACGGGTCGATAAACACTGTTCGTTCAAGACTCTCTAACTGGGTAAATAAATCTATCCACTCTTACCACGTTTACAACTCGGTCAACAAATGTTATTGACCATAAGCTGTTAGTAAACAACATTATCTGCTACCAGGTACGAGACTATATACACTTAGAAGCCGTTTACCAACACTTATTGGATAAGAGTCATCACCCTCATTTACAAAGTAAGTTTCCAACATTTATATGATTGGACATAAAGAAAGAGAAGTGAACATGCTTATGAATAGATTTAGCAAAACACAAAGCATGTTGCAACCCAAATATCTCTAAGAATTTCTAATTAAAAGGAGGCATCATCATATGCAAGCAAACTCTAGGTATGATTCATTCAGAACTCAATCCACATCGAGGTTTAACCACTTATTTAATACACTTTAAGACATGATAAGATATGATTGAATAAGACCAGGATTATTGTTTCATGTTTGACAAGACTTTTATGTAAAACATGGTGGAACAAGGTAAACAGACGTGTCCCCCCCTGGAACAAGGTGGAACATACCTATGTTTTACCAATGTAACATCAAAATAAAACTTAATTCTGTTCTAAAACATGAAATCGTCTCGTCTCCCTCTTTTGCTTTATTCGTTCTTTAAATTTTATTTATTGTATTTTATGTTATTTAAATTTTCACTCTGCTAACCTCAAAGTATTATTTGATGTAATTTATTAAATATTAATAATAATAAAATAATATAGAAGTGT